CACATTGGCTGATTCACACCAGAGTTCTATTTGCCCTTCTGGCAACCTCATTGCACTGTTGATTCATATTCATCTTTTAGTCTAACATGACCTCCATGTCCTGTTCAGATGCTGTGCCAGCCAGTGGACCATCACCCATTGTGTAGATATGGTGAAGGTTCTTCCTACCCAGATGAAGAACCCTGCACTTCTTGTTAAAGCTCATCTGATTCTGTTCAGCCCATAAATCCAGTCTGTTAAAATCATCCTGGATCTTTGCCCTATACTCTGATGTGCCCATGTTTCCCCACAGCTTCGTATCATCCACAAACTTGATCATTGAGCTTTCCACCCCCTCATCCAAGTCATTCGTAAATATTTTAAAGAACACTAGTCCAAGCACCAACCCCTGGGGGATGCCACTGGAGACGGCCCTACGGGATGAGGCCATTCCATCGATTTACAGCTCTCTAGGACTGGTCTCTAAACCAGTTGTCTACCCACCTCACTGCAGACTGGTCCAACCCAGTACCATCCAGTTTGGTTGAGAGAATCCCGTGAGAAACAGAATTAAAGGCTTTACTGACGTCTAAGTATATCACGTCCACCTCATGTCCCTTGTCCAGAAGTTTAGTTACTTGGTTGTAGAAGGACACCAGGTTTGTCAGGCATGATCTACCCTTGACAAAGGCTTGGTGGCTGCTGCTTAACACCCCATCAGTTACTAGCTTGTAATTGATGGCCTCAAAAATTTTACCCAGGACCGAAGTCAGTCTGACCAGTCTGTAGTTTCCAAGGTCATCCCTCTTCCCTTTCTTGAAGATGGGCAGCATATTGGTTCTTTTCCAGTCATCAGGGACCACTCCTGAGTTCCACAACTCTTCAAACAACTTTGCCAGTGGTGCTGCTATAAGCTCAGCCAGTACTTTCAGGAGTCTCGGATGCAGGCCATCTGGCCCAGAAGACATGAAAACGTCCAAGTGTTGTAGAAGACACCCCACCTGTTTAGGATTGATTCCATGTAGTCTGTTGTCTTCCCCATATTCCCTGGGCCTCTGGTCAGGTGAACAGACCCAATTTGATTTGAAGAATACTGAGGTGAAGTAGGTATTTGGGAGTTCTGCCTTCTCACAGGGATCGACTGTGGGCTGCTTCTGAGTATTCAGTAGGGGGTCCCATGGTGGAGCCTAATTTTTTCTTGCTCCCTATGTATCTATAGGACTTTTTGTTGCCCTTTATTTCGGTTGCCAGCTTGATCTCCATGCCTGCCTTGGCTTTTCGTGTCTCAAATCTGCAGACTCTGGCTATATGTGTGTATTCCTCTCTAGCTGCTGAACCATTCTTCCATTGCTTGTATGCTTCTTCTTTCGTGTTCAATAGTTCCCCAACATCTCTGTTGAGCCAAGTGGGTCTCTTGGCTCCTTTCCTGCTTTTTGTCTGCATGGGGATGGCCTGTTTTTGGGCAGTGAGAGTTGTCTCCTTAAGGAAGCACCACCATTCCTGAACTCCCCAAGTCATCTAGTTGCTGGTTGCAGAGGGCCTCTCCAACTAGCCTCCTGATTTTGGCGAAGTCTGCCTTTCTGAAATCTAGGACCTCTGTTCTGCTGATTGATTTCCATTCTTACAGTGGATGGTGAACCTAATTAGGTCGTGATCGCTGTCACCCAGAGTACCACCAATCCTCAGGTTGCCTATCAAGTCCTCCCCTTTGGTCAGCACTAAATCCAGAGTGGCTTTATCTCTAGTAGACCCTTCCACAACCTGTGTCAGGAACAGATCATCTACTGTCGCCAAGAAGTTGGCCCACCTGCTGGAGGTGGCCGAGTGGTCCTCCCAACAGATGTCAGGGTAGCTGAAGTCACCCATGACAATCATGTCTCTAGTGCTAGCTGCTTCAGTCAGTTCTCTGGAGAAAGCCTGATTGTTCTCTTCTTGGGAGGGAGGACTCCCACTAATCAGGTCTCCCTCTCCTGGTCCCCCTTGTATCCTGACCCATAGGGTTTCAAGGGACCCTTCCCTGCTGTCCAACGTGACCTACAGGAAGGGGTATTACTCTTTCACTTAGAGGGCCACACCTCCTCCCTTCTTCCCAGCCCGATCCTTCCTGTAAAGCCTATAGCCTTAAATATTTACTGCCCGGTCATGCATGTCATCCCACCAGATCTCCATTAACCAAATCAGATCAAATTTCTCATCTACCAGGAGTGCCAGTTCGTCCTGTTTATTTCTCATGCTTCTGGCATTCCCATAAAGACACCAGTGTTTTCTCCTAGTCACCTCAGGTTTTCTGTCATGCTGCCAGCATCTCAAGATGTCAGTGCTTATCTGGACATCCACTGCTTGAGTACCCTCCCATGTGTTATTGTGGCTAGAGGATTTGTGTACAGCAGTGGGATCTTCTCCCCCACCCCTGGAAGTGCCTAGTTTAAAGTCCTCCTCAACAAGTCAACGATTCTTGTACTGAAGAGCATTCCGATTCAATTTGGAGAGATTAGAGGGTCGTCTGATTCAATCTGGATTCAGGAATTCAGCCACTGAATCGGGCCAAATCTCTGCTGAAATGAATCAGGGACCAAAGCTTCGCACAGCCCTACTAGTTATCAGATTCATAGAAGGTTTCTATGAAATTAGTAGGAACTCTGGATTTGTTAAAACATGGAAAGTCAGGACAGTCCTAATTGGGCTCAGGTGCTGTTATTACCAAGAAGGATTTGTATAATATTCAGTACCAGCACAAGTAGCTAAAATGTATTGCATCCTGTCAGAATCAAACTTCATCTCCCTGTTGGAACTTTAGCCTTTTGACTTCATATTTAGTTAGCATTTATAGTAACAGTGGTCCGTATAGATAGCGAAATGGTAGAAAGCAAGTGTTATTTTCTGCCCAGAATCTGAAGGAAGATAGCATTTCTTGTTGGACTAGCTTTAGTTAAAGCACCCCCACTGTCATTTTTCAGTGCAGGGATGCTGATACACATGACACTGGAGCACAGTTATTACCACGCTCTGGCAACCTCGATTAATAGAGTTTGCTCTGACGCACTGCAATTACAGTGCATTGGAGCAGCCTTGCTACACGTGTATAGGTGTTCCATATGACTGCTCTTGTAAGGGTAAGATTACTGGTGAACTGTTCAGCTGCCCACTGAAAGGGATGGATACAAACTGAGTAGTGAACTCCATTATCAAGCTCCCCCTGCTCTCCCTGTAGAGCTGAATATCATTTACCAACCCCTGTACCACAGCAAGCTGAAAGAGCATAGGAAAAGGCCTCAGCCATGTTTGGGAAATACACAGGAAGTCAAAGATTAAGTCAAAGATAAGATTATGGAAGTTTCTTTTTACAGTCTTCATATACTCATTCAACACTTATATATCTTTGTTTTCTGTAGGCAGTAGGTCTGACCAAGATTTAACTCCAAACTCATGGACAGCATCTGTACTTAGAGGAAGTTTATGAATATACTTGGGTGAGACTACTGCAATAAAAGGGAACAGTTTTTCAGTTACAAAATACCAGTGTAAGAATTACAGTGCAACTGTGCAGTAACTGGAGTTATTGTGCAGTAGCGTCACTGAATTACTTTTTTGTGACTGACAGTGTAGTAGCCCACAACTACTGCACAGTCAGCATCTCAGGTAGATGCGGCCTATGTTAAGGCTTGTTGGTATTGCTTAAAGTAAGTATTGAGATTATATTATTTTACAAACAAGATTGTAAGCTACAAATACACGAGTCATATCTGGACTGTTTTCACAAACTAATACAACTTAAATGTAGGTGCATTTTTTTTGTTAAAGAAAAGGTGCACATTATCCAAAATATGCACAATCAAATACTGTATAGACCCATCCCTTGAGAATTAGGAATCTGGCAACTGACACTAAGATTTAAAAATTTCAACTTAGTCTTCTCATGAAGTGGCACAAATGTAGTTTGGAGGAAAAGAGGAAAATCATTAATAGTAATTCTAGTGTACTTCCTGAAGTCCAGTTCAGCTTAACAACCATCACAACAATTCCTCCCAAAATCAAAAGTGAAGGAGAGCTACTTGGTTTTCTGTGGAACCCTGACCTATAAAATGGGGACAGGAACTGAGCAAGGATGAAGGAAAAAGAGAATACAGTAAAAAACATTTTGCATAACTCAGTTTTGCCATGTTATTTGAGAAAGTTACATTTTTTAAAAACTTTTAATGTCAGTTTTAACTTTCTAAATGGAATGTTTGAAACATGTTTCAGAATTTCTCTTTTATTTTTTTTTTCATATCAGAAAATTAGGGTTGGAAGGGACCTCAGGAGGTCATCTAGTCCAACCCCCTGCTCAAAGGAGGACCATCCTCAAATAGATCATCTCAGACAAACCAGATCATCCCAGCTAAGAAAAAAAATGAAAGAAAAACCTTGAAATAAAACATCCATTAAAATGAAGTGTGTGCATGTCAAGAGATTCAACTGATTTTGGGGGCAGGATAGAAAATTCTCCATTTCTCCCCACCCTCATTTTCATTCTGAAGTGGAACCAACTTTCTCTAAATTGCCAAACCTAAACATTCATCTTTTACCTAGCCCTAATCAATGACCAGTCTGGATGACTACTAGGAAAAGTGTTGAAGTTATACTCAACTACAGCCAGGTTTAGGAATTCATTGCCTGCTGATGTTAGAATGCCCACTCCATAGTCTTCCTCTCAGAGCATGTTTCCTACAAACTGAAAACATTTTTTATGCACAAAGACACAGTTAGACATTATCTTGCTGCCTCCTCCACTTTAAAGCACTCTCTTTATTATCTTAGGTTCTTTGTGCAGAATCTTCATGTATAGAAAATAAACTATGTTTATAACTAGCTTGTGTATCCTGGCTATCAGTGTGTATAGACATGCATATGTAAAAATCAACTGACCAAACAGAAAACAAAACAAACAAACAAAAATACCCTATCCAACTAAACATAAGACTTTCAGGGAACTAGATATGGGGGCATGAAAAATGTCTGACTTGACAGTTTGTCTCCAATACCTTTACTTTTGGTTCCACAGAAGGAAGGCGGAGGTGAGCAAACATTTGGCAGCACATTTCTTTCTCTTTATCCATGTATTCTCTGTAACAGCTGCAAAGTAAAGCAGGTGTTTCCATTACAGGATGCCTACTTCTATGCCTGCAGTTAATACCAATATTATAAGCCCAATGTTTTGAAGCTACAAAACTGAAGCAATATGCAATACTGAAGTTACTCACTAAGGGTATGTACAAAAGTAGCTTTTTTGCCATTTAAAGCACTTTATTGCCATAACTTAACCAAGGCATATGCCTTTACAGCACTTAAAAAATGGGTACAGCACGTTAAACTAACCCTTGTTAAATGAAGTATTCAATTTGAAGCATTGTATTCTGTATGCTGGTCAAATTTCTGACCAGTGCAGAAGCCCCAGGGGGCTTCAGAGTGCACCTTACCTCGTAGCCTGGAAAGTGCAGGGAGGCTCAAAACCCCTTCCCCCTGCTTCTCCCTCCCCCCCCACAATCAAACACTGCACTTTTGTCATGTTTAAGAGTGCTGTAATTGTATAGTGCTATAAAAAGTGCTCTAAAACACTGTAAAACATGCATGGAACACTTCTGTATACATCCTAAATTCCAGAGACAAAGAAGAATTTTATAATAACCAAATGTACTTGAGTTAAGTTTTATAAAGATAGGTACAGCAGGAAGACCACATGCTGCTGATGGTTCAGAAAATTCTTTAATATTTTACCTCTGGAGAACAAAGTAGATCACAGGTGAAAACAAGGGACCATCTGGCCCCCAGAGAGCACTTGTTACAAGTCAGTATTCTACCAAAGGGAGCAGTCCAAAGATTATACTATGATTTGGAGGACAAGAAATTCATTAAAAATGTTACCCAAAACAACTGACTAGATTATATTAAAATTTATAGTACACAATGGGATGGTTTAGTCGGGGATGATCCTTCCTTGACCAGGAGGCTGGAACTAGATGAATTTGTGTGGTCCCTTCCAGCTCTACTTTCCTATTACCCTAAGTCTTTTGAGGAGATTAGGAGGCTATCACAGCTATCTAAAGCCATGCGCACTTATACCAATGAGTCTAGCAGGAATTCTAAAATTCTGTAGCCCTTGCAAAGGACTTGATGACTTGGTGGGATTTTGCCTTCATTATCCCCACTGGGCACATCTACATAGAATCATAAAAAAGTAGAGTTGGAAGGGACTTCAGGAGGTCATCTAGTCCAACCCCCTGCTCAAAGCAAGACCATCTCCAACTACACTATCCCAGCCAAGGCTCTTTCTAGCTGGGTCTTAAAAGCCTCTAAGGATGGAGATTCCACAACCTCTCTGGGTAACCTGTTCCAGTGTTTCATGATCCTCCTAGTAAGTTTTTCCCATTTTCTAACCTAAACTTCCCTTGCTGCAACTTCAGACCATTGCTCCCTGTTCTGTCACCTGCCACCACCAAGAAAAGTCTAGCTCTGTCCTCTTTGGAACTATCCTTCAGGTAGTTAAAGGCTGCTATTAAATCCCCTCAGTTTTCTTGTCTCTAGATTAAATAAGCCCAGTTCCCTCAGCCTCCCAAGTCATGTGCCCCAGCCCCCTAACCATTTTTGGTGCCCTCTGCTGGACTCCCTCCAGTTTGTCCACATCCTTTCTGTAGTAGGGGGCCCAAAACTGGACGCAGTACTTCAGATCTGGCCTCACCAGTACTGAACAGAGGGGAATAATCGCTTCTCTTGATCTCCTGGCAACACTCCTACAAATGCAGCCCAGAATGCTGTTAGCTTTCTTAGCAACAAGGACACACTGTTGGCTCATATTCAGCTTATGGTCCACTACCCCCCAGGGCCTTTTCTGCAGAATTGCTGCCTAGCCAGTCAGCCCCAGCCTGTACTGGTGCATGGGACTATTTCATCCTAAGTGTAGGACTTCGCATGTGCGCTTATTGAACCTCATGAGATTTCTTTTGGTGCAGTCCTCCAATTTGCCTAGGTCTCTCTGAATCCTAACCCTACTCTCCAGCCTAATACCGCCCCTCCTGTGTCCCACGCTTGGTGTCATCTGTAAACTTGCTGAGGGTTTTGCATTTCAACTTGCTGAGGGTGTACTCTATACAATCTTTCAGGTCACCGATGAAGAAACTGAAAAAAAACTGGACCCAGGACCGACACCTGGGGCATTCCATTTGAAATCAGCTGCCAACTAGACGTGGAGCCATTGATTACTACCCTCTGAACCCGATGATCCAGCCAGTTCACTTCATAGTCCATTAAGCCAACCCTTACTTCCCTAGCTTGCTTACAAGAATACTGTAGGGGACTGTATCTAAAGTCTTATTAAAGTCAAGGTATACTACATCCACCAGTCTCTGCACATCCACAGAGCCAGTCATCTCATCACAGAAAGCAATAAGGCTAGTCAGGCATGACTTGCCCTTGGGGAATCCATGCTGACTGCTCCTAATCACCTGTTTCTCTTCCAAGTGCTTAGAAATAGATTCCTTGAGGACCTGCTCCATGATTTTTTCAGGGACTGAGGTGAGGCTAACTGGTCTGTAGTTCCCTGAAGCCTCCTTTTTCCCTTTCTTAAATATGGGCTGTTTGCCCTTTTCTAATCACCCAGGACCTCTTCCTGATCGCCATGAGTTTAAGGATGATGGCCAGTGTTGAGATAACTGCCTAAATCATTGCTTTCTTCTATCTTACATTAATTTCCTTGTTGCTGCTGTTGTAATAAAAAGCACAAAAAGCTGGTAATTATATTAACTGACACAAACCAATTGAAGCAGAAACTCCAAGATGACATTTCTTTTTCAAACCAGTTTTTCTATTGTGTCTGGGTACTGCAGCATTAAATTATATGTTGCTACAATACCCGAAGACAGGAGAGAAGCAACAAATCTGCCTGCAATTACAATCTAAACTACTTCTTCATCTTCTTTTGTTTAGAAATATTTTAAATCTAAGCATACTTGGACCAACAGTTTTCAATTACACTCAGGAAAATAATGGACAAAATAACCTATTAGAGCCAATGGTGTTACACTACACTGGTCAAAAAAGACCCTACCTTATAGCAACAGTCTTGAAAAATAGCAGATAATCTAGGAAAATCTGCTTAAAACTTGTCTGATATGTCCAAGAAGTAATTGATCCTGTGCAGTCTTAGTAGAGATAATTACAAATGACATGAATGGTACGACGGAGAGAAGCAGATAGCTATGTTAGTCTAAAGGAGTTATCCTGAATCTCAGGCAGGTTAGCCAGTAGATCGTTCCAAATCATTTTCTAAGTAACACTTCACATTTTAGAGCTGCTTATAAAGTGCTTAACAATGTGGTATCTAAACCCCAAGGCACAGAGAAAGATGAAGAGCACATCTTTTGATTCTCCACACCAACATCAAATAGCACTGGATAGCCAATTGCTGTTTACTACTTAAGACAGCCATACATTCAGTTGACCAACTCAAAACAAACAAACTTTCCCCACGTGCAAAAAAGTTCAGTCAACTCCCTGCCAGCCATGTAGGGCATTGTTTTCCATTCCATTGTTTCTTCTGTCTCCTTTCAAAGGGTATGAAAAAGTAATGCTTGTGACCCCTCATAAAACAGAGGAAGTGTTGCATTTTCTCTAACTTTGGCAAAGCAGAGTGGCAGAGAACTGCAAATAGAATAGATAGTGCTAGAGCTCTAAGCATTTCAAACAAAGTTAGTTATCATGACAAATAGCTAAAGAATAGCTATACCGAAGCATACATTTTCTATTTGGCATGCTTCGGCTTTTGGTCACTCCAGATGAAATCCAGCCAACACCTGGAATGGAATAAAAAGGTTTGAGAGCTGTTTTGTGATCTAGATAAAAGCAAGCTGTTGATTTCACTGTAGCTCCAATGCCTTCACAGCATAGCTCCTAGAAGTGCATGCAACACAAATGTCACTAACCAACAACTTTTCAATTATTTTCTTCTGAAAACACCAGCAATGGAAGAAGAGACTAGAACTGGCCCAGCCAAAACACAACCAAGGCAGGGATTCGTTCTGTTAGCAGAAAGAAAGTTTACCTCCAGGACAAAGTTGTTACTGCACAGTCATTTAGTATTTGTATAAATCAGTACTACATGACCATGCAGTCACAGTTACTGCGCAGCAGTGTTGCTGAAGGGCTTTGCTGTGATGCTGGCTGCACAGTACTTTGTTACTACTGCGTAGTAGCATCACATCACACTTCCTGCCACACAATGCTACTGCACAGTTGTAGCAAGCTACTGCGCACTCCGCATCTCACGTAGACATGGCCTGTGCTTCCTGCCCAATCTCCTGCTCTGCCTTCAGCCCTATCAGCTGCTGTGGGGTCTATCCCCTCCATGTTCTGTTGCATGCCACATAGACTGCCTGTACCACTAGTGATACATGTGCGACACCTCTGGGACAGGCAATCAACATATCTTAAAAAGGAATTAAAGGCAAATGCATTACTTTGCATTCATGTACTGCAACAGCACCTTATTGCAGCAAGCTCTATACAATATTTTGTTCAAGGTATTTTAGCAATATCATTTATCTTGTCATCAACAGCCTGCCCTACCTACTCAAACCTATTTTCTAATAGGCCCCTTCTGATGCTAAAATCTATGAAGGGTGCAACTGCCATAGGAGATTCCCCCCACAGTAACTGAATATCTGTCAGATACTCGCATCACCCTTAACTACTGTGTCTGCAAAATATTCAAAACTAGCTTTCCTATATTTTTTTCCTTAAACAAAAAGGGTAAGAGAGAGGGAGAGAGAGGGAGAACTCTATTTCCCACAATTACTGAAAGAAACAGTTATTTTTGCTGGCTATGTCTTTAATAGCTTCTAAAATACTTCTAAGTTTTATGACCAACTACTTCCACAGAAGTGTGTATTTTTAACTTGGGCAAGCAAGTTGCCCCCTTTTAACTTGCCCCCTTCTCAATATGGAAAAAGGAGTCCTCTCACCTTGCCAGTTTTTTCAGTTCACAGTTAATATCATGGTTAAAGGGCTGCTCTTTTTGAGCTTTAATCAAGAAATCACGAGCTTTTTCATACTCTGACATAGAAAGACAAGCCTGTCATTGAAAGAAGGACAAGAATTAATAGATAGATATATACTCTCATCTTTTCTTCAAGACTGAAGCATGTATTCCCACAAACAAGTGACTGATTCAGATAATTGTTTCAGACTGCACGAAGAGCAGCACAATATATTTGGAGACCCAGATTTTGGTTTTGTGAGCACTTGGCACACATGCAATGACTATTACAGTAGCCGTGTATACATGGTACATTTGAAGTCTGCTACCATGTTCAGATTTCTAAACACTTCATTTCAGAATATCCAAGGTGTCCCCCACAGACATATGAAGTGGGATGTCAGCTTGAAGTTGATATTGCCTTTAAACCCAACACAGAAATTAATTTTTCCTTCACCTGGCCACATCTAAATAGTGCTTTGGCATTTCTCTCATCAATCTCCAAGGCCTTTTCTCCATACATCAGAGCTCGGGCAGGATGTTCCAGCTTTAGGTAAGTAAATGAAAGATTCAGGAACACCAGCAGCTTTGCAGCATCAATCTGGCTCTGCTCACCCTCATTGTATGGCCTGCGACACAGAATCAAGGATGCCTGAGCGAACATGGGAATAAGACCAATGGAAGTGATTCTTAGTGGATCGTTTTACTTGTGGAAAACAGTTTCATCCCACCCATGAACAAAATGAACACACTGTAATATTCTCCTGATGGACAAAATCACAATAAATAGCAAAATATACAACAAAGAATTTGCAAGAAGCTTGGTAACATGACCACTCAGCATTGTCATTTGCTTTGGTGGCATCACATATGGCAGGAATGTCAAACTCATTTGGTCACATGGGTTGCATGAGTTGTATGGGGCTGGTTGATGGGCTGGATCAGGACCACAGACCTTCCTGGTCCCCACCAGCCCACCTGGTGGATCCAGTGCCTACTCCAGGACTTGCACCACCCATGGTGCCTGCTCCAACTGGTCTGGGACTTGCACTGCACATATGCCAAAACAGCTGCTGCATGCAATGTGGGTCCTGGAGCAGATGCCTCATTCAAGATAGATCCCAGATGGTTTGGAGCAGACATGGCAGGTGGCACGTCCTAGGTCCTGCACATGGGGCTAGTATGGTGGTATGGGTCAACTCAAAACTAGGGCAGCACCAGGGGCTAGATAACAGAGCTCTGTGAGCCATATCCAGTTTACAGGCCATATCTGTAACAACCAGACAGAGCCAAATCTTCAGTGAGCTCAAAAGGGAAGCAGATACACCTGGAGCCTTGACCCTGGGTTTGCTTTTATGGTTCCTACATCACCATGGATGCTATATAGAGCATTTTTTTTGTTTTAAATACATAGATTTCAAAGGAAGAGTAGATAAATTTTACAAGTACAAGTGGAAAAGAAAACTCAAAGGAAGATGCGTTAAATATGTCTTTGTAGAACCAAGCAGTTGCAGTAGAAAAAGCATATTCAAACAGGAAAAGTATTCCTGTGAGACATGCAAACTGGACGTAAATCAAACTAAGTGTGGAATGTATCTTGTGACATTAGAAACAAAGAGGGTGAAGTTTCCCATTGAATAGTGCTGGGGTGACATTTTCCAACTGGGAGACCAGGAATTTAATTGTGACTTGAAGTGCAAATAATTGAGAAGGACTGGACCTTTAATGAGTCTGGAATCCTAGGCTGCTTTTGAAAAACATCTCTCTGGAACACCTTCACTACATAGTGTATGACTTGCTACTTCTCCGGTTGTCAGTTGTGCTGAAAGATTCCAGCTAGATGGTTACTAATTTAAAACAGAAGTAGTCAAGATTTGCAGACCCATTTTTAGATCAATTGCACAGAACGGAGTATTTGAAGTACACCAAGTCTCTCTGTATACTGTTTTGCCTATGCTTACTGGGGCCAGTTGTGTTGAAACACAGAGAAAAAGTGTTCCACATACAAGCACTAGTCTTTTCCCCCTCTGCTACAGCAACTTAATTACCATTATGAAAAACAGTAAGACAAGAACTTAAAAAGCCTAATAGAATCAGACATATTGGTTTTAATTAATCTTCTAGGTATCTATTGTTTAAACTACAGTATAAGAATAGTTGATGTTTTGAACTAGTGCTCAGTAATCACTAACTTCCATAGCCTGCACACACAATCACAATCATCCTGCTTAAATTACCCTTTTATATCTATCTTTAGCATCCATGAAGTGCTTCTGACGGAAAAGGTAATTCCCAAACTGTCTCTCTGTATCTGCCACTTTCAGCACTTTTTGTAATGGGAACATATCTTGTTGGCCCTGCACACAGAAACAAAAAACTAATCAATTTAAACAACAGAAATCAGACACAGAATGCAGACTGATGGTAAGCATCTACAAACTCACCACAAAATGAGCAGGCATCGGAAGCAACTCTCACACAGAATTAACACAACAGCACCATCACAAACACCACTAATGTTAATGCTAAGAACTTCTGTAGGAAATTAAACCAACAAATGGAATAATGGCATTCAGGACTGTTAGCTGAGGAGCAACAGTGGTGGCAGTGAAAAAGCCTTCAACTCTGAACAAGTGGTTATGAGAGTTTCTGTTATGAGCCACGTTATAAAGGTCCTTCTGCATGGGACACTTGGTACAGTCCCTAAAACTGTTGCCCACCGTCATGGAGGATCACAGGGCTGAGACCAATAATCAGTTGATTATCAGTCCCAGTACCACACCAGAATCTTGAATCATCTTAGGTGTAGTGCCCTGCTTGGGACTAACAATCAGCTGATTGTCAATTACAGTCCTGTAACTCTGGGGCAGTGGCCACCTAGATTTCAACTTGATCCTGATAAGTGAAAGATCCAGGATCCTTCCTCTTGACATAAGGATTTCCTTGTCTCACCTGGAGGACATGTTTTACAGCTCGGACACACAGTACTCACATTTTAAGTGCATTTAACCATGCTAAGCATAAGGTGTAACATGGCTTACTGTTGTATGTAAATATTTAAGAGTCTGGCTCCCCCTAGTGAAAGTTAAACATTTATGGTAGGGTTATAAACAAGGAAAAGCTCGCAATTGATTTGCCAGATTTTAAAAACGGTATTATACTCTGCTTATTGTTATAATTCAAACAAGTATGTACGCCGAGTCTTTGAAAACTTCCACTGCCATTTGCTTTGAAGAAAACAAACAGCTGGGGAAAGCACTGTGTACTTCCAGATTTTCTTGAAACAGGATGAAAAAAAGAGAGGAAAGTTTTAACAGCAGAATTCTGACAGCTTTTAGGACCAAATCTTGAATGGAGGGAAATGGGCATTACTTCACTGATTTCCCTGTACTGAAACGTAATTTTTTTTTAAGGCAACATTGAGCACAAGATAATGCTTAATATTCTTCACTAGCTTGAGGGCCTGCAACATGGGAGGTAGGTATGGACCACTTTGTCTCCCTTTTCTGTGAAAGGAAGTGGGAGCAATCCTGCACAAGAAGCAGCGACACGTTTGTATTTAGATTTATCTATGCTGTTATTGTAAAGAATATGCTGACAGGAATGAGGACCTCGTGAATATGCCACACAAAGCATTTGAAACAGCTTGCAGTTAATAGTGTTCAATACTACACCATACTCTACTGTAAGGGGGTCCATCTCCAGGGGTGGCTGTGGCACCCCCTGGTGGTCACACCACACCTAGGGTCCAATTTCAGTTCACCAGGTTGGCTTTGCCCTCTCACCTGCCATGCCTCGATGTTTTAATTATATTATTGTAAGGAGGTTGCCTTCAGAGAACCTGAGTTCAGCCTTTATGGTAACTTGTTCCACCTCAGTCATCATCAGGCTGCTAGTCTGCCCAATCCCCACAGACAGAGCTCTGCTCAGGCTAGGGTCTCTCTGCCTTCTTGCTGAGCTCCTGGCCCTATCTTGCTTACGCTGGCTTTTGGCCCCGTTTTGCTCTTGTCTGTGCTTCAGCCCATTCTGGACGTTGGCCCTTCGTAGCTCACTGGGTTCCCGACCCTTGCAGGGCTGTATTTGGGCTCCCAGGCTTTAGCTCCAGCAGCCCATTGAATCCCAGACCCTTGCAGGGCTTTACCCACACCACAGAATGCCTTCTGGGCACCTGACCCAGGACCTCCTCACCCCTTTAATCCACTCCAAACCTTGTGGTTAACAACTCGAAACAGAAACAAAATGTGTATAGAAAAAGCAGTAAGTTACAGCTCCCAGCAGAGCTCCAGCACTCAAGGGGTTCTGAGCCAGACTGAGCCTCCAGGCTTATATGGACCTTGATTCCTCCCCCTTCTGGTCACTTAACCTAAATGCTGCCTATTATGCAAATCAGCAACAGAGCTCTCACTCCCCTCAAACAGCTGCTCACAATCCTGCAGCTCTACTTCCTGCATGCTGTATTCCTCAGCCTGTCTTCTGCAATACTGCTTTTTCTTCATTCTAGTAGCAGGGACAGAGGTCCCCTGCTATAACTATCACTACAAATAGTGATGAGAAGAGAGAGAAGTTTTAACATTCTGGATTTATAGCTCAAGCCTGCTTTATATGTATGTATTGGTCAACTCACAGCCGTCAGAGCAAAGAATGTGTCAGATTCAGCTGAATCAAGGAAGTCCATCAATTCTATCTCAAACAAGACTGTGGCATTAGGAGGAATCAATGGAAGACAGCCCAGAGTCCCATACGCATAACGTGGCATGAAGAGGAATCTTGCCAACTCTCCTTTCTTCATGGTCAGCAGACCAATCTCCATGCCCCACAATGTAATCTCTGGGGAGACAAAAGATAGAACTTTTAACGTGAATTCTGAAAACAATTTGAATTACTGATTGCTCTTAGAACCTTTTGGGCAAGTGTTAGCTTTTCCAAATACCAAGAGTTTGACTGCCAATTCATTTACACAAAGCATAGCACAATAAGCACCCCAAAGAATGAAAATTATCTGTCACAGTATACTGTAGCTTGACAGACCCCAGGACTGAGTCTTATTAGAGGTGCACCAATACATTGGTCCCATATCAGACTGGCACTGATATGAGGAAAATTGAGAGTATCAGCAATTGACTTTTTTTGGCTGACGTGGCCGATAATGTGGCCAATAAATGCCATGTGCATGTGTGCAGCCACGGTGCAGCATGCAGGTGGTCAGGAGCGCAGCCCTGCAGCGTGAAAAGCAGCTGGGTCTGGCTGGTAAGTCTGTTGTGGGGAAAGGAGCATGAGGGGTCGGGGGGGCAGATCAAGGCGCCCCGCAGTGATGAAGGGAGTTGGGCTGGTCCTTGGGCAAGCGTTGCCAGGCTGGTGGGGGGGACGGGGAGGACAGAGCTGCAGCTCATTTCTAACCCCCCCACCCCCGCTGGGTACACATATTAAAAAGGGGCCCGCTGGGGGTACACTTATTAAAAAGGGTTGCCTCAAAGTAGCCATGGGGGAAAAACTGGGCCTGGCTTACAGGCAGTTTCCTACCTTCAAATGGCATCTCTCAAGAACCAGGCTACCTAGCTCCCAGTGTCACCAAGACATCAGGCCTTGCAACAGACCTAGATGCCTTCTGTGCCCCAACATCAACATATCATCATTGGACCAAATAACATGAATTATAACATCCCAGCTGGTCTGGTCCTGCAGGGAGCAAACCAGGAAAGCCAAGGCTGCAAATGAAATCCAACTACCTTCAAGCATCAAGGATAATACAAAGTCCTTTTTCAGATATGTGGAGAGCTGGAGGAAAAGCAAGGGCAACATTGGACCCCTGCTGAACCAGATGGGACAACTGACAACAGACGCCCAGGAAAAAGCCAACCTATTAAATGGGTACCTTGCTTCAGTTTTTCATCACTCCCATGGGATGCCCATGCCTGCTATGGGACAGGGAGGTCCAGGTGAGGGAGATCCCCTGCCCTCCATCAGTGCTGACCTCATAAAGGAACACCTTGAGAGGCTGGATACCTTCAAATCAGCTGGCCCTGACAGTCTACACGCCAGGGTACTCAACGAGCTGGCGAGCATCATAGCCCAGTCCCTGGCACGGATCTTTGAAAACTCCTGGCACTCTGGTGAAGTACCCAAAGACTGGAAGAAGGCCAACGTGGTACCTATCTTCAAGAAAGGGTGGAAAGTGGATCTGGCAAACTATAGGCCCATCAGCCTGACTTCTATCTCAGGGAAGGTCTTAGAAAAGTTTATTGAAGAGGCCATCCTTAATGGACTGGCCGACGCCAA